AGTCGTGCCTCGCGTAGGCCCTATCCTGTCGTAGGGACTCGCGAGAGGTATGGCTGGCGCACTCGGCCGAAGCGGCTTGCGGAAGCTTCATGTACATTCGCGACGAAGGAATAAACCAAGTCCTGCGTGACGCGGCCGGGAGGGTCCCGCGCTGCCCTTGTGCGGTGCCGGACCGTTGCGCTCGACAACGGCAAGAGCCAAGTCATGGTCATAGTTGATAGATTTAGTAAGTATGTTGTTTTTGTTACTTTGCCTGCAGTGGCACGAACTAAGCTAGTAATTCAGAAGTTTTTTTACTATTGGGTTAGTGATCACGAGATTCTGCTGTCTATAGTTAGTGATAGAGACACCCGTTTCACGAGTCACAACTGGCAGGAACGGATGAAAGTTTATGGATCAAGGTTGTTGATGTCGTCTGGCCGCCATCCAGAGACTAACGGTCAGACTGAGCAGATGAACAAGATCCTGTAGCAAGTTTTGGGCAGGTACATTAGACCTGATCAAGTCAATTGGGATGAGATGTTGCCCAAGGTAGCCAGTGCGTACAACAATAGCATGCACTTGTCCACCTATCGCACTCCCAACGAGTTGCACAAGTCCTTTAAACCGCACAAATTGTTTAAGGGACTTAATCGACCAGATTCATAGGCTACCGCCCGGTACCAGAGAGTTTGCGATACAACACGAGAAAGAGCTAGCTACATTTGTCGAGAACCTCAGGAAGGTCCATCATAGAATGATAGAGTAGGCCAACAAGCACCGTCGCCCATCGCAGTTCCAAGTAGGCGACTTAGTCTGGGTCAAATCCAAAGAGTTTGCTCCTGAGGAAAACATCTTGCAGAAGTTACTGCCCGCATATAGAGAACCCTGGCCAGTTTTAGAAGTCAAGGGCGGATAGGATGGGTCGTCCTACACAATAGAGATCCCAGCACACCTCCACACCTACTATGTGTTCCATGCGTCAAAGTTGCTGCCATGTGTCACAAGTCAACAGTTTCCATCTAGAAGATCCATGATCCCTCCAGACATGGACGGAAGGTACGACATTGCCGACATTGTAGGTGAAGACGTGTTTAGAACCGGAGGTAGAGGTCGTCCACAGAAACAGTATAAGGTCCGGTTTGCTTATCAAGAACCAGAGGACGACCGCTGGTTTACTAGAACATAACTTCTAGAAACCGCTCGCGACATAGTTAGAGCCTACGAAAGAGATAGGAAGGGTAAAGGTCCTGCCTTGGACTGAGTTATTCTCGGAGGACCTCGAATTTAGGCCGGCGGGAGTGAAACGGTATTCACCTGTTCGCAGTGGCCGATGCAGATTCCACGACTCGATCCCTAGACTTACCTTACCTGTGTACAGTATCTGTGTCGACCCCAGGAGTTGAACCCACGACCTGTGTCCTTTCCCCAGTTGGTAGGCCGTCGTAGGTCTGTAGGTTATAGGGGTTCAATCTGTAGACCTGTCGGATAGGAGTCTTAGCAAGGTCTAGAAGTCGTAGCTATAGCTCCTCCGAAAGGTCAAGGTTGTAGCTGCTACAGTCCAGAAGGGTCAAGGTTGTAGCTGCTACAGTATCGAAAGGCCAAGTCCACGGCCTTCCGGAAGGTCCTAGTAGTGGCCTTCCGAAGCTGCTCATGTTTAGGCTGAGGCAAGTGGGCAAGTGGTGGAGTCCACCCGTGCTGAGTCAGCAGTCCCAGTCCCAGTCGGTCCTAGTCCAGCCAAGCAAGTACCGCATGGGACTATGTGCACCACGGGCATGGAAAAAGGGCAGACCAACGAGATACAGAAGTATAAATCAAGAGGCAGCGCCCAGCCATTCATTCATTCCTGCGTTAAGCCATGCGGAAGCGCTGCCACAGCGACTTGTGCGAGGTGGTCTGCGGTGAGCCCGAAGACGAAGTGGGCGAGAGAAGGAGCTTAGCCATAGCGATAGGGTAGCAGCGGCCATAGCCGCCATAGCTGTTAGGAGAGTGTAGCGTGCGTGTGTGTATGTCTGTTCAGAGGGTCGCGTGTGGGATATCCAGGGTGATCCTGTGTGTGTGTGAACAGAGAGTTGTACAGGCGCTGTGACGCCATAGCCATTTGAAGTGAACTTGTACCTGAACTGCGTCCTTGGTTACTATATCTGTAGCATATCAGAAAGTGAAATGCACTGAAAGCCTAGGATCTAGCAATGACGAAAGTGGCAACAACCAGCAGCATAGGTGCAGCATTCACAAGGTGTCAATGTGCGCGACGCAAAGAGTGAAACAACGGGAAATCAATAACAACACATTCGTATCATCATCATCATAGGCTGGGAAGCAGCGCAGCGGAAGATCTAGTATGGAAGGACACGTGGACAACAACATGAAAGGGAGAAACTTCGGAAGGGCAAGACACCAGAAAGATTGCCCTTCCGCTCACACACATGGGGAGAGATCCATAGACATGCGAGAGAGAAGGGGGAGGGACATAGAGGTAGCCAAGTCCAACCCAAGTCTGATCTCCGAATGTCGCACACAGTTCAATCCCAATGTGTAGAGTGTAAGTCCGATCTGAATGTCGTGTCCAATAAGGCAGAAGGCCGTGTCCAAACAATGTCTGCAGTTACCTCTATCTCTACTCTGATAAAGAAGAAGAAGAAGAAGAAGAAGAAGAAGAAGAAGAAGAAGAAGAAGAAGAAGAAGAAGAACTTCGGAGGAGTAGGAGGAGAAGAGGAGAGGAGAAGAAGAAGAGGAAGAAGAAGAAGAAGAAGAA